ACGAGACAAGCTGGTTAAACCAGATGAGAATTTTTCAAAAGCGTCCCAATTTCCAGCGCGATATTTATAGCGATGTAAAGCACGCAAGTTTCGGGCGAAATCGAGCAGCAACTTTAGACTCGGACTACTTCTTATCCTACTAACTGTAACTCTCGGGCTGACCCCGGCTCGCTCGCTTTTTACTTTCCTCGGCTTGTTCCTTTTTACCTTCCCCTTCGAGACTTGCCCTCTTGGACAGGGACGACCTCGTGGTACTTCGACCACCGCGCGCCCCCTTCTTGTCGTAAGTTTGTCAAGAAATTTTGCCAATCGTTTTAACAGCGCCGCGTGTGAAATATTTTTTCACCATTTCTTAGCAAACAGTTTTGTCGTGTCGTGAGATTAGATTTGTTAGGTTTGCACTGAAATTGGAAAACACTTGGCAAAGTTCGTTTCGACTTTGCGTTTGCCTCGTTGTGTTTGTTATTCGTCTTTCCACATTGTGAGCGAATAGTTTGGATATTTCGAATATATTTCGCAGACGTAGCAACCCGCTTTATTGTGTGGCTCTCGCTGCTATTAAACTAACAATGCAGAACATTTCGAAACTCGATCAAACTATCCTGCAACGACACAAGAATAATCGTAGATTAATCGCAAGATCGAGAAACTTGCAGACGACTTGCAAACGAAAAGAAGGGAGTTGAATTCAACGTTTCGGTATGAAAACGCCAGTCGAAGAATGCTCTCTCTCTCTCTCTCTCTTTCTTCTTCCTATCGAATTACGTGCAAACAACAATTTGAGACATTAGCGAGGGGAAAATACTTCGCCTAACTTAATAGTTTGCGTAGTCTGATAGAAAGCGGCCGACGGAAAGGCTGCCGGCGGAATATAAGGTCCAACTTCGTTATCGTTAACCGCGGTAGAATGTTAATTTACAGTTACGAACTAGATTAAAACGTGCATTCGTACCCGTGCACTTTGCCCTTTGCACGCAATTCTGTCCCTCCGTAAGATCTTGCGTAACAGATCATTAACTTCAATTATAATTGTGTCATTGTCCGGCCAAACGAACCGAATTTCTCTACCACCTCCAGATTCTGTAGGTTTCCTTTCGCAGAAGAAACCCGTCGACACACAGCTGTACTATACTGCATTGACATTGATATAATTAATAATTAATGTTAATATAATATTAATTTTATATTAATATTATTTTATTAATATAATATTAATCATATAATTAATAATTAATATTAATATATAATGATAGTTGATATACTTGATATGACAATTATACTGATGTAATATATAAATATAATAGCATAGTTGTATTAATGTAATAACAAGTTTGCATGCTCGGAATAATAGAAGAGAAATGTTGAACCGAATTTTTCTATCACCTCCAGATTTTGTAGGTTTTTTTTTCGCAAAAGAAACCTGTCGACACAGTTGTCGACACTCTACTGTATTGATATTGATATAATTAATAATTAATATTAATATAATATTAATTTTATATTAATATAATATTAATCATATAATTAATAATTAATATTAATATATAATGATAATTAATATACTGGATATGACACAATTATACTGATGTAATATATTAATATAATAACATAATTATATTAATATAATAACAAGTTTGCATGATTCACCTCCAGATTGTGTAGGTTTTTTTTCGCAGAAGAAACCTGTCGACACACAGTTGTACTGTACTTTATTGACATTGATATAACTAATAATTAATGTTAATATAATATTAATGATATTAATTATATTAATATAATTTATATTTATATTGTAATATCAATATTATATTAAAATATCATTTATTTATAATAACATAATTGCGAGTTTGCATGCGTGGAATAAAAGGAGAGAAGTGTCGAAATCAGAGATCACAAATTGCAAAATGTCGGTTAACAATAAGCAGAGAGAAATTTGCATGGCACTTTTGCCCGAGAGGTAAAACAGAGCGACAAAGACGAAACGGTTTGATAAGCTCCAACGCTCGTGCAAGATCTTGGTTTTATTAAATTAGATGCATTGCAGCGCGCAGAAAGTGCAATTGCACTTTTCATTTAGATGGAATTGTTGGATACAATTATTTTCATCTTGTTGTACTACTGAATCCTTTTCCTCCCATTGTGCTCTCCTCCCGAAGAAACGAAAACGAAGTTTAAACGTGTAATAGGGTCGTTTGTTCAAACTGTTACGTCTAAATTGTACATCAGATGTTGTAATAATTATTTGTAACGTTGCAACGTGCTATATGCTTGATGATTAAATCATAATTGGAAGTATTCGATAACGACCGAGCGTTTGTAATCACGGCTCGATTTTAGATTACCTGTGTAATTAACATTCGTCCGATTGGAATAAAATATGAAAACGAAGCCAAATGTACAAAGACACTGTATCGTAAAACAATCAAGAGGAAATACAGACGGGAGAAATGATTATGCGGAGGAACGCAGATAACATCTGCACCTTTAATTGATATTGTTTAATCGCGCCGATAAACGTGTTTAATCGTGCCGACGAAAGTGGAAATTACACGCGATACCTCTCCGTTGCAGGAAAATCCCTCTCGTCGTACATCGCGAGTGAAACGCGATTTACAATGAAATTATGTAAAACTATTTTGATATATTCTTGTTATTAAATTCTGCGCGTTATTTCGACACGTCGAAATTGCAAATTGACTGAGATCTTTTTGAAGAGAGTACAGAGCAACGTGGTGTCACAAATAAAATCTCGCATAATTGAGTTGAATACACTGTCAAATGCGCTGCAACGGCGATTGCTTTTTAAGCTTTTCTCGCGACTATTTATTCTGTTATTCTTTACGCTGTCGTAACACGAGAGATCGGTTAAAAAACTATTGGATATCTCTTCGAAAAACCAGGCAAAATTACGTGTATGAATTTTTTTTTTTTTTTTTGTACGCATAAAAATTGATTTCTTTTTCAATTTTATACACACATATCGAAAATGGAATATTTTTTTCGAGAGACGAAAACTAACAAGATTGTTTGTGTGTGTGAATATTTTTATACGCGTAGAAATTGAATCTTTGTACACTTAAATCTTATGTACACTTCGAATTCCATACACATCGAAATTGAATATGTCTTCGAGAAATTAACAGAGTTATGTGTATGTATTTTTTTATACGCACAAAAATTGAATGTTTTGCGGGATTTCATACACATCGAAAATATTGAATACTTTTCCGAGAAACAGAGACTAACAGAATTGTGCGTGTGTAAATTCTTTTATACACAGAGAAATCGAGTCTTTTTCAAATTTTATACACAATGTATCTTCGAGAAGCAGTAGCTATCAAAATTGTACGAATTTTTTTTTTATATGAGAAAAAAACATTCTACGAGAAAAATAATCCAGTAGAACTATTTTTGCACTAGTACAGTATCGGTCTGTCTCTTATCCTTTGTAATGTACGCTCTAAACATCGTCCGAGTATCGATTACAAATCCCACCCTCGTACACCAAAGTTCGAATTTAACCCCTGTAAAGCGCACGGGAAGAATTTATGTGCCCCTGTAGGCGTTATCCGATGGGAATCCGATAAAAATGCACGAAATAATTTCACTGTTCACTCGTTTCTCTCAAAAATTGTTCACGCCGCTCGCTTTTATCAGAGACATGTGTCCGTATAACGCGTCAAGGGAGAGTCCTTTCTCTTAAAAAGGGTTTTACGTCACAATTTTAAGAATCGTAACGAATAGCGAAGATATTTCATTTCCTTTCCATTCCCCTTTTTCCCGTACGTTCTCAAATTTGCACACGTGAGCACAACATTCGTCCAGTCTCTGTAATTTGAGGGTAATTTAAAGGTTCGAAAAGAAAGAGATCATGTTCCACAGGTGTCGTGTCGTATTATCGAATGATTGATCGTTATCGTTGTGTTAATTCCTCCGTCTGTTGCACATTTCCCTTTAATAAGCGCGTTCTGCCTCTCGGAGGGCGCACAATCGAAGAAAAAGTGGACGCGCCAGGGAAATTCGTTTTTCCCGTTTGCTACAATTTCTGCTGCTTTCATCGAGCTTTTATTAACCGATATCGTTTACCCGTTAATAGCTTTGTAAACCGTGGCTTTGAAACGAGAACGGTGAAATTATAATAGCCGTTATAGTCTCGCGGTTTCAGTTTCCGTTTCAAATGTAATCGTCCTGTGGTATTGCCACTTTTACGTTTTATGCAGGGTGTATCCCGGCTGGTTGGGAAGGATGGCTCTGCGTGCGAAAGTGTGTCGAGAAGAGAGAGCAAAATTTTTCCGTTAAAAACGTTCGTTTCGGGGAAAGTCGAGCCTGAGAATTTAACTGTACTTAAATTTGAATATATAAGCGAGAAAAATGTGGAATGAAATTTTTCCGTCTGAGGGCGTCGTTTTCGAGAAAAAAATAAACGTTGAGCATGTTTTTCGTTGGAAATTACCCTGAGTACTCGATAAACGTTCAAACTCGATTTCCTCGAGAACGAAGCGTCTTGTGGAAAAATTTCGTTCTGCGTTTTTGTTTTTTTTTTTTTTTTTCTCACTTACATTCACACGCAATACAACCTCCTGTAAATTCAACTATACTCGATAAACGTTCAGACGCGATTTTCTCGAAAACGAGAGAGCTTTAATTGAAAAGATTCTATTCCTACTTTTCGACACCCTGTGTACTTTCAAGTCATTCAGAATAAAACGACGAGATTGTTACTTAGCCGCACAAGTACAGCTGTTACAGTCGCGAAATTATTATATTAGTAACTTCGTGTTGCGTAATAATCTGTCCACGGTGTATTCAAGCATGTCGGTTGTAAAAAAGGTGGAAGAAAAATTCACCGTGAAATGCTTGTATAACGGTTGAAACGCGTGCAAGCGTTCGTTATAAAAGGCTCACAAAAGGCGCGTTTAACAGTGTTTGTAGAAATCGGATTATACAATGAAGATCGTGTTATGCAACGTGAAGTGAAGTTTTTGTTTCTTTTCTCTGTTGCAGGTTAAAAGTTCTCGTCAGAGGTGCACAAAGTATGGGAAAGAGACACCGTTAATGTCGTCCGCGTCAAATTTAAGACGGTGAGTAAAATTTCATTCGGTCGGCGCTTTGTCCCCAATCAGAGAGAGATACGTTGTTTGTCAATGCTCGCGTGTTTGAAAATGCTCGCAGCAATTTCGGTTACAATTGGTTTTATTTGGCGCGAAGTTTACGTGGTTTTAACATTGATTATCTGTTTTAAAGCTGTCGCGAAACATTTGAAAGCAAACGCGATCTAATGCGCTCGCCTAATACAGGTCAGGATTGTCGATATCTCTTAAAATTGACCACTATTATTCTGTACTCTAATTTTTACACCTACATAAATATTTTAAAGGAAATTTTAAAAAAAGGGAAATATTACAGATGAGAAATATACCAGGTTTATTTTTTCTTTTTCTAATTTATCTGTATTTCTCTTTTACTAGAATAGTTGTTTGTACAAACTTATGACGTGACCATTATAAATGCAAACTTTATGCGATACCTTTCTCAAAATATTTTGCACGCGCAAAGTAGAAACATATCCAAAAGGAAATTAAAAGGAGAAAGGATGAAAAATATACTAGGTTTATTTCTTTTCCAATTTATCTGCATTTCTTTTTTACTAGAATAGTTGTTTGTACATATGTACTTATGACGTGACCATTATAAATGCAAACTTTATGCGATACCTTTCCCAAAATATTTTGCACGCGCAAAATAGAAACATATCCAAAAGGAAATTAAAAGGAGAAAGGATGAAAAATATACTAGGTTTATTTTTTTTCTAATTTATCTACATTTCTCTTTTGCTAGAATAGTTGTTTGTACAAACTTATGACGTGACCATTATAAATGCAAACTTTATGCGATACCTTTCTCAAAATATTTTGCACGCGCAAAGTAGAAACATATCCAAAAGGAAATTAAAATGAGAAAGGATGAAAAATATACTAGGTTTATTTTTTTTCTAATTTACCTGCATTTCTCTTTTGCTAGAATAGTTGTTTGTACAAACTTCTGATATGACCATTATAAATGCAAGCTTTGTGCGGTACCTTTCCCCAAAATTCAATCGGTGGACGTTTTAAATATTTCAAAGTACTTGTGTATCTTTATACTTTTGCCATTCACGAAGAATTCCTTCGTTTAAGCAAATAACTTTGTAGTTCTGCGTCTTCCTTTATCCCCCATTTGTCTGTCCTTCACCGCCCTCTAGCCGCCTACTTGCATTATTTTCTCTCCCGATTTCTCTGCAAGTCACAGATTTCACTTCAATTTTCTTTCTTTTTTTCTGGCATCGCTTTTTTTTTTTTTTTTTTTAACGCAGAGACATTTTTTTTTTTTTTTTTTTAACGCAGAGACATATTTTTCTTTAACAGAGTCGCAAATAGTGCGTACATATATGTACGTACATGTACATTGTTCTATTTTCGTCTTTGCTCCGCGCTTACCGAATTCTTCGTTTGCCCGATTCTCGAAAAATTTGGAACAGTACACATGGAAAAATTGCTATATATATATATATATATATATATACATTGCTATATAAATATTATACGATTTTTTCAAAATTCAGTTCACGAATGAATTTCACGACAAATTCTCAGAATTTGTTCGAGAATCAACTCGAATTTCTTGACACGTGTGCGCTGATCTTACGTAGACATTTATTTGTTGACTCGCGTGACTGGTTGCGAGCATGTACGAAATCCCGTAGTCTCTGAAACTGTCGACAATCAACGTGTGTATCTGCGAATGCAAACTAATTTAATTTAAGTGTTTGCGCGCGCACACACACACACACACACACACACACATACACACGTAAACGTTTTACCAAATATCACCGAACAGCCTCGAAGTTTCACACCTACTTATCGTTCAATATTTAAGAAATACATTGTATTCAGTGTCACAGTGCACATTTAACGTGCTAACTGCTAAATTGCAAAGCGCACGAGGCTGTAACGATAATTGTGAACTCGCCACCCCCGCGAGATAAAATCATACTTTTCACGAGTGAGAATGACAAGTGAAATGTACTGTAATATCTGTGACAAAAATTTGTATGCATTAAATTTAAAACAGCAAAGTACGCGAACAGCAACTTTCAACAAAATTCTTTTTCGCGTAAGAGGTAACAGGGTGGAACAATGTTAAAATAGTTGTAACGCTGTACTGCGTTCTTCTCTGTTCGTTTGTGCTGATTTGCATCCGTGCTGACTGTTTGCAATGGACTTGCCAAACGAGTTCGAATCGTAATTTTCTCGTTGCAATGCCCAGGTTAAATGAGTTGTTACGTGTAATTAAATATAAAAAACTATATTTATATGTGATGTGTTATAGTCGAGATTAAATTGAATTATTACATATAGTCATCTATACGTGATAATATATATATATATATATATTATAGCAAGTACTGTTACATGTAGTTATATTATATACATGTAGCATATATATTATATATTATTATAGTTATATATAATATATAATATAATATATAATACTTATATAGTTATATATATTAATATATATTACATATTATTATAGTTATATATAACTATATATAATATTATAATTATAGTTATAATATATATTACATGTTACAGTTATATATACAGTTATATTATATGTTATAGCAAATTCAACTATACTCGATAAACGTTCAGACTCGATTTTCTCGAATATAATACTTATATAGTTATATATATTAGTTATATAATACTTATATAGTTATATATATTAATATATATTACATATTATTATAGTTATATATAACTATATATAACATTATAATTATAGTTATAATATATATTACATGTTACAGTTATATATACAGTTATATTATATGTTATAGCAAGTGCTTGAAGTCACGCGTGCTCGAAACATTTCCAACAGCCACGGGCTGTCAAATTACGGCGGCAGATCGGCCATTTTGCCAGTACATTTGATTACGTGGCAATTTCTCAGTGTCTCTCAATTACTTTGCTTAATTCGCCGTTGTTTTAAATCACCGGGAAAACTATTTCGCGCTATCCGTTTCGTTCAATGTCGCTTTGAGCACTTAGCAGAACGCGGCGGCCGGTAACGCAAAGCGCAAGGAACGCAAATAACGTTCTCCTAACTGGCCGAAAAGGTGAATGGAAAGGACGATACGATCTAATTCCTCTTGTACGTGCCTGCGTGCGTGTGCGTGTGCGTGTGTGTGTGTGTGTGTGTGTGTGTGTGTGTGTGTGTGTGTGTGTATAACGTTAACTCGCCTTTCGTTCATTCATCAAAGCGGCACTTTAGCTTTCACGTTCACCGCGCTCTACGCAAGGCTAATTAAACTGATTAAAGTTTAACATCTCCCGTCTTTGCCGCGAGACACGTAAAAATGTGTTCAGTCAACGATCAAGTAATTAAAGCTCGGGGTGAGAATCTACTCGGACGGTGCCGTCCCCCGCAGCGTTTGAAGACTTTTCAGATTCCACATGATTGAGAAAGATTTGAAAAACCGTCAAGTCCGCCAAGCGGATAGAAAGATCGTTTAAACGACCGACGCAATTGATACTTTGCCTCTTTGAACTTTGAAATAATATAAAATAATAAAGTAACAATATCGAAATAATGAAACGTTGAACTTTCTCGCTGTTCGATTCGTAATTGATTCATTGATTTCTTTTTTTATTATATTATTATGTTATATAAATATTGTTATGGTATATTATTCGGTATACGTTCATAGATATATCTACGTTTTGCCTCGAAAATCTCAGGACACTCTTTGGTTTTGATGTTTAGTACTTGTGCTGTCCGTTTATCGAAAAATAGAAAAATTGATAGTATAATGTAGTTTATAAAACTCTCGGCGAAACAATATACTTTTTTAAAATTCCCTGTAAAATTCAAACTCAAATGAATCTATGAAATGTTAATATACCGTGAACACAGAGAGTATTTAAATTCACTTTCGTGCGTGAAGCCTCCAGTTTCACAGTATCGAGGTCGTTTTTCCAAAAGATGGTTTTACATCATTTCGAATGATACTCTTTCGTGCAAAATTAAGTCACAGTTTTGAAGATCAACGTCTTCCCTTCACAACGAACCCTTAAAAGTTTATTATACCACTTTTTCGCGCAAAAATATAAGAGTCGCAAGTATCGACACAATTTCTCGTCACTGTCTGCATCAACACTCGACAGATTCTTTATCCTACAAAACATCGTTCAATTTTTTCCCATCTTTGACAAACAAATATTTGTCCCAAGTATCATCCGAGCGCGAGTTCGAAGAGCTCTCGCATCGACACGGACTTTTCTCCAGCGATTACATACGGTTACGTATTTCGAGGCAGAAGTTACGAAACAGGGAGAAAACGGAGAACAATTGGAGCGTAAATCGAGTTCCCTAATACTCGCATACAAATGTACCACGGCCGAATTGAGCAAGCACAAAAGCGGTTTATTAGGCGGACAAAAACGTCACTGTCTAAATTAACAATACGTCGCGTGTATTACCCGCCTCTCTGGAAACGAAACAGCCCATTGACGTACAACCGACTGACTTCTGTGCCATCTCCGCGTTTAACTTCTTGCACTGGAATGACGTGCCACGCACGTCGAGAATTTTTTTGTCCCAAAATTGTAATATTTTCTCAATTTTAAGTATATTTAAGTAAAAATAGGCACAGCAAATAATAAATTTATTACTTCTCAATAATTTCTATACAGTGATGTCATACCGACGAGTTCAAAAGAAAAAGAAAGCGACAAATTATCGTATACAGTTCGGTCACTCGTTATGGTCCGCAATCAGTTGCCAGCGCAAGTGGTTAAGGATACCTATAACAATGTTGTTTTCTGATACTGTAGAAAATTTTATTTCATTTAAAAGTTGATACAGCTTTAATCTGTAATATAATTTAACAATAAACACACTAAATATCAATGTATTTAACTGAAATATAGGTTATATTAGGCATAACATAGGTTATGTTATAACATATTATACCATAACATGTTACAACAAGTAAAATTACATATTTAAGTAAAATAAAATAGGAAAAACAAAT